GGAGGACCACTGAGCAAGTTTTTTTAACTGTCTAAACTTTTAATATCTGTCATAAGTTTGCTACGATTGTATTAAAGATTGCATATCATGACACATGTTAAAGCATCTAGCATAAAGACTGGCACATAGTAAGTGCTAAATATTAAAATGTTTATTACCCCATTTTATTTATCACCATCATTTTACAGATTTATTGGCTGACACTGGAAAACAATTTACATATGAAATTTTCACAATTTTGAAGGATTTACCAAAAATAGACACTTAAAGAACTTTTATATAATGAGATTTTTGGAGTGTCTTAGTCATGATAGGGATTCCACTGCTTTGTGGGATTGTTCATTTATTGTTACTTCAGTAATATTTAATTTTTCTTTCTGTCTTCTCACCTGCTATTTATATAATCTTACATATTTGTAATAGAGTTGCCTGATAAAATACAGGGCAATTTGATTGTAGACTAAAGAAACTTTGATTTCTTGCAGGTTTTATTTTTGAAATTGAAGTTGCCACCCAATGGAGAGATAAAAAACCAAGGCAGCAAGAAAACTTTGGGATCTACAAGAAGAATGAATGGTGGTAGACAGAAGCCAAGGCTGGGAAAACAGTTCAGCACTAGTAAGGTGCTTTTGGGGGCAGTGATGGGCAGAACCTAAAGTATATCTTGGATTCTGATGTCTTAAAACAATGCTGTTGAACTCAAGATCCAATGTATATCCTACCAGTTGAACTTATAAATAAATAAAGGTTTTCAACTGTCTTAAAAAAAAAAAAACTAGACGCATTCCAGCATGGAAAATCTGGACCATAATCTGAGTTAGCAATTGTTTCTTTCCTGTCATTAAAACAGTATAAAGGTTTGTAAACTCAGACCTGTAGATATTATTTAATTATTGATATCCACCAGTCTTGGACTACTTTAATAAGATTTGTTTAGTTAATGAACATGAACAAAAATATGGAAGAATTAATAGGAAAAAGTCAGATAATACCAATACAGCTTTTTTTTTTTTTTTTAGTTTTAGGTAAGTTTTCTGAGTTTGCTTTAAGAATTAATTTTTTATAGATTTATTTATTTATGCATACAAGAGAGGAGCTGTAGGCCAGAGGTGCAAGGGATGAGAAGACTCAACAGAGACATAGTGGGGAGTAGAACAGGCTGATCCACTGAAATACACTGCTGAGGGGAGCAGTTGGCAAGGACAAGAGAAGTCTGCAGCGCCATGTGGCTCAGCTTCCTGGCTAAGGATCAAACTCATGTTGCGGTGGCTGAGGATGGCTTGATACTTCTGAGACTTAACCCCTTGCATGGGACAAGGAAGTCCCATATCTGCTAATTTTGAAGCAAAATTGCGTATCAGAATGCCCACAAAATGTGGGGGAACAGAAAAATGCTTTAATTTTGTTGAAAATCAGGGACTTATTTGTATATTTTAAAATTGAATTAACTTTTAATGGCAAAGTAAATATAAAAAGTATATCCACAACAGTCACAGAGAGCTGTCTAAGTTGACATTCTGTGGAATTGTGATCCTAATATTAACTATGATTTGCCTGCTCTTGGAAAATTTCTACAACTTCATTCTGTAAGAATCTCATTAACACTTATATGCTGTAAGCTTCTGATCTTATTCACAGTTGTGAATAAATGTTTTGTGATTTCCTTGATATGGAAACAAAGTACTAGGACAAAAGGTAAACTGGGAAACTTCCAGTCTCGTGAGGAATGGAGGAGGAAAGTATACAGAGAAAGAAAAGAAATGTTAGAAATTCTTGGGTTAGGGGATATAGGAAGAGAGTTACTTTGCTAATTAACATTTAATTGACTTTATTTTTAAAAGGTAGGTCTAAATTGGTGTTACTCAGTGTTACGTTTGTATTTTATAATTTGTCGTTATCACAGCTTTATCATTTTGATGATTTAAAAAAAAACAAACAGTAATTTTGAATTGTAGATATATGAGTTATAAAATTTAATTTTGGGATTGTATTAGTAACCTAAATAGACTCTAGCTTGTTATGGAATTTACTGGGCTTTTTGTTGTTGTAATCTTAATTACCCTATTGTATTTATTTGGCAGGATGTTTTAAATAAATTAAAAGCACTGCATCCTTTACCAGGCTTAATATTAGAGTGGAGAAGAATTACAAATGCTGTCACAAAGGTGGTCTTTCCCCTACAGAGGGAAAAGCGTCTGAATCCTTTTCTTGGAATGGAAAGGATCTATCCTGTATCACAGTCACATACTGCTACAGGTACTGAGAAATCTTAAATATGAATAATATACAATATAAAAAAAAATCTCCATGTTTGCTTACGGTGACCTAGACAGGCACATGTTGATTGCTAGGTTTAGTGAAATTTCATAGCAATTTTTTTTACAGATTTATTTTATTTATGTATACAGAACTGGGGTACAGGCCAGAGGTGCAGGGAGTGAGAGGATTCACCAGAGACAGTGGGGAGCAGAACAGGCAGATGGATGAAGTATACTGCTGAGGGGAGCAGCAGGCGAGTCAGGTAGGTTCATGCTGCAGTGGCTGCAGTAGCTTCATAGTGCTGCACTTTAACTGGTTACACCACCAGGGAGGGCCCTCATAGCAGTTTATTAAAAACATACTACATATATCCAAAGTGTAGATACTGCCCTAGCATAGTGATAAGTTTTTATAATATAATTCCTGTTTGTAAGTACTATGTGGAGTAGCTAGAATGTCTAAGATAGGGTCAAAGATGAGAACATACACAGAAATTAAATATTTCAGCAAGAGATATTATTTAAATTGAGGCCTAGTGCTCTCCTGTGCCTCTTGAGCTTCTCTCCAAGTTGCATTTAAGTAGGCTTGTGAAGTATCTATATAATACGTTTCATTTTTCCATTCAGACAGAAACGAAAGCTCTTGAGTTCTTTAGGTGTCTCATGACCCTATTGGGATAGGTATGACAAAGTCAATCTAGAGTTTTCTAAGGAAAATTTAGGGGAGAAATAAAAGGCAAAAGAAAGCATCTTTCTTTAGGCAGTGTTAACTCTAAATATTTGCCAAATGCAATGTGCATTGAAGAAAGGGCAGTGTAAATTCCAGGGGGGGGCAATTTAGACTGATGATATAGAATGTCAATTTTGATATCAGATTTTTGCAAGATTTAAATTTCATTGCTGTGAATCTTTAGTGCCTTTACCTATCAGTACACAAGTTCCCTCACCTGTAAGACAGGGTAGTAATAGTCCTACCTTACCAAGTCATTCTGAGGATTAAGTAAATTAGTACATATAGTCATTAGAGTAGTACATGGCATTTAGTGTATGGCTCATTATCAGTTGTTGCTGTTATTAAGGATGGAGATGCCATGAAGAACTCATCTCTCTCTGCTTAATTCCTGTTATAAACTTATTTAGCTAATCTCTTCATTCCTTGATATTTTTGCCCTGTTGGTTTTTAGAATCATTTTGAAACATATTAAGGCTCTAAATTTAAGTAAAATAAATCCTTGGTGAAAAAACACAGTCAATCTAGAATTTCAAAGATGTTGCACAATTATTTATTGCCTATAGAGCAGAAAGTAGTCAATTCCTTTTTATTCCTACTAGGTTGTTGTCATAATATGTTTACATATAAAGAATATTTTGGAAACATAAGCTTACTACCTAAGCCAATCCATTATTAGAATTCATTTCCATAAAGCCACATTTATAATTTATTTTTGTCATCTTGTTTGTTTGTCTTCCAGTGTTATTTCATTAATTCAAACAGTAGACTTAAATACTATAGAAGTTGTATTATAGAAAAGAAAATGGTATGCAGGAAGGCAGGAAGGGACTTAGATTATTTCCTCTGCTATTTGTTAGCTTTGTAATATTAAACAGTCATTTATATGTATATAAATCCTTATTTAAAGATTTACAATAAGGATACTATCCTTATTTACAATAAGGAAAACAGTATATTTATTTACAATAAGTATATTAATATTTACCATTAACTGATTATTTATTTTGTGCTAAGAGCTAAATAACAAGGATACAATATCAGGGATTTACTCAGAAAACAATATCTGATGTTTAAAATGTCTGATTTCATCAAAAGGAAATTAAATTATATAAGTAGTTAGCAGAGAACCTGTTACAATGAAGAGTATATCATAAAACAAGATATTTTTTAAAGATTTATTTTATTTTCTGCATACAATAATAAGCCATAGGTGTGGGGGCGAAGTGGGGTTTGAGAGGATTCCCAGACAGAGTGGGTAACAGAGCAGGCAAGATAGACTGAAATACACTGCTGAGGGGAGTAGCAGGTGAGAGAGGAGAAATCTGCTGTGCCATGTGGGTGGTCTCCCTGGTCTGAAATGGAAATTGTGCTACAGTGGCTGCAGACAGCTTCATAGTGCTGTGCTTTAACTCCTTGTGACACCAGGAAGGCCCCAAACAGGATTTTTAAAGATAAAGTTTTATTGAAGTAACATTGGCTTTTTAAGTAACATTGGTTTGTAAATCATCAGTCTATATATCTGTACTTATATACATCCATGCATCTCACCAGTGAAAGTATAGTTTCCTTCTAACACCATCCAGTTGACCCACTTGCTTGCCTGTTTCCCAGTCCCTATCCCCATCCCTCTGATAACCACCAGTCTGTTCTTTATAGCTAAGGGTTTGTTTCTGTTTTGTCTCTAAAACAGAATTCTGTGTTGCTTCGTATGTATTCTAAAAACTGCCGTAACAAAATCAGTGATCTAACAATTTTTTTTTTTAAAGATGTATTTATTTGTGCATACAGAACTGGGATGCAGGCCAGAGGTGCAGGGGCGGTGAGAGGATTCACCACAGACAGAGTGGGGAGCAAAACAGGCACATCAACAGAAGAACACTGCTGAGGGGAGCAGCAGGCAGGTCAGGAGAGGTCTGGGGTGCCTTGTGGATCACCTTCACAGTCCCAGATTGAACTCATGCGGAAGTGGCTTTAGCTTCTTAGTGTTGTGTTTTAACCCACTGCACCACCAGGGAGGGCCCAACCTAAACTTTTAAAAGGTGTAGGAGGTGACAGGATTCACCAGAGACAGTGTGAACAGCAAAACAGGAGGATCTACTGAAATACACTGCTGAGAGGAGCAGCCTGTGAGAAGGGAGAGGTCTGCTACGCCATGTGGAATCAAGCTCATGCAGCTCAGGCTGGTGATAGCTTGATAGCAATCAGACTTTCACCTCTATCCTACCAGGAAGGCCCCCTAAACTTTTTTTTTTTTAAACAATATTAATGTGTTTTAGAAAAATTCAGCCAACAACTAAAATAAAATACAAAATACTTTTGGGAAAATAAAGGTTATGAACATGAAAACCAAAATCTTTCCATTGCCTCAAAAATTCATTAATCACGTGATTCCAGTCTTCAGCTATATCAGTGCCACCATCATTCTTGACAAGTGATCAGGATGACAGCACAACAGGCCATGTGGTATCCAGGAGTTCCAGTCATCACCTCTCACTACTAACCCATCTCCCACTTTGCTAGCCCCTCGAGCTCTGGGTGTCCTGCTTCAGCACTCAGCTCTGCTCCAATGTCTTCTGTCTTGTATGTTTCTGACTCAAAGATGAAAGAAGGTCATTTTTTTAAGATCCATTTGCTGATATGACTACTAACATTGTAGAATACTGACATCTCATACTCAAAAATTATTTCTTGTAAGATTTTTTTCTAGAGAGCTAAGTCAATTTAAAACATTGTGACATGCTTAGATTCATTTACATTGGGATTGGTCTTGTACTTTATCATTGTTAGACATATGAGCATGATGAAAAAGATGTCATTTTAATGTAAATTTATTTTAGTTTAACAATAATATGTCAGGCATTTTGAAAATTGAGAAATGCAATTACTATTAAAGAATGAATGTCAGCCTTTTTCCCTCCTAATTTTTTGTCTTCATTCTGCTTGATTTTAGGACGAATAAGTTTTACAGAACCAAATATTCAGAACGTGCCAAGAGATTTTGAGATCAAAATGCCAACACTAGTAGGGGAAAGCCCACCTTCCCAAGCCCTGAGCAAAGATCTACCTCAAATCAGGAGGTAGGTTCTTTTTATTTTTGTGTTAATATACTTTTCTGAGTACGAAAGTGTAACAGTAGCCTTTTAGATAAAAAATTAAAATTTCCGTCCCAGACATATTTATTTCTATTCTAGGTACTGCACATCTTACATTTTTTATCTCTAAAAAAGGTAGTTGTTGGTGAAATGCTAAAAACTTAGGTGACTAAGTTTACCAACCTGCATTATAAGTTTATTTCAATCAAATATTAAAGGGATGTGTTTGACAATATTATATATACACAAACTTTATATGGATATATAAAGTTATATGGATAACTTCATATTCTGTATAGTCAAAGAAATTTGTTGAGTTGAGCTAAATGTCAATGAAGTCAGCAGCTTGTGGGAAAGATTTTATTTTTTTAAGTTAAAAAAAAAAATTATGCACAGAAGAACTGAGGTGTAGGCCCAGAGGTGTGGGGCAGGGGATGAGAGGACTCACCAGAGAGGGGAGCAGAACAGATGGGTCTACTGAATTACACTGCTGAGGGGAGCAGTGAACAAGACAGAAGAGGTCTGCTGTGCCATGAGGATTAGCAGTGCTGGCAGTAGCTTAAAAGCACTGAGACTTTAACCCCTGCACTATCCGGGAGGCCCATGGGAAAGGCTTTAATTAAATTCAATTGGTTAAAATAGTCTAGCACCTTTTTAAGTTTAAATGTGAATTCATATAATAAGGTATTTAGTTCTTGGAAAAACTGGCTTTCACAGCTATTTGGAGGTTCCTCAAGCTATTAAAAATGGAACTTTCATATGATCCAGCAATTCCATTCCTAGGAATATTCCCAATGACACAAAAACACTAATTCAAAAGGACACCTGCACCTCTATGTTTATTACAGTAGTTTACAATAGGTAAGTTATAGAAGCAACCCAGATACCCAAAAATATATGACTGGATCAAAAGATGTGGTATATTTGTACAATGGACTATTACTCAGCAATCAAAAAGGATAAACTCATGCTATTCACAGCAGCATAGATGGAGCTGGAAGGTAATATGCTCAATGAAATAAACCAGAAAGAAAAAGAAAATATCAAATGGTCTTACTTATAGGAGGAATGTAGAGAAGATAAATAAGGAATCAAAAAAGAAAAAGTAACTATAATATAGTAAAAATCAAAATCATCAGGAACTATAGATCAAAGACATCCTGTAGGGAAGGAGGAAGGAGAAGAATCAGGACAGAAGTGGGAAGAGCACAAAGGACTATGGTGATCATGCATGGGTAAATTGGTGAGGTTTTCATGGGGAAATCATACATTGTACAAAAATGAATGATTAATACATTTTTTAAATTAAAAAAATAAAATGAGCAAACAAAAAAACCTGACTTTTCTGGGGCGTGGGGGAGCAGACCTCTTTTGCATAGTTGAGATTGTTCCATGTCTGATGATATTGTTTATATGACAGAGGAAGAACTTTTAGGAAGGACTGTGGCCTTAACCCTGGACACCCAGCAAAGAAGGAAGAGAAAGCCTCCGACAGAGGAATGCCATTTTCTGTTAGCATGCGACATGCCTTTGTTCCTTTTCCAGGTAAGGCAAACAATGAATTTTAAGTTTTTCATAGCTTTCAAAGCACTGATAAAATCTGAATTATGCATAAGACCAGAAGTACACACCACTCCTACCATCTTCTGTTTGGTGGAGCCTGTTTTTCTCCTTTGTGTTGCCTTAATGTTTTCAAGATGTGCTTGATAGGAAATTCTTATGGTGAATGCTTGGCAGTCTCCTGAAGTCATGTTACCCATGTTCACTGTAAAACTTTTTGCAAAATCCAGTGGATTTTAAAATTTTTTCCTCCTCTTTGATTGTTACAGTTTGTCACTGTTTATCAATCAACAACTCAACTTTTCCTTTACCTCCATGGACACAATAATTTTTGGTCTCTATTTCTGACTTGCTTTGCTCTTTTGTTTCTTCTCTTCTCTCCCATTGCTGCTCCCTGTCACATGGAGTGGCCCCCCAACATATACTCCTTCTGTCAGCATTCTCTTGTCATAAACCTTTCTTGTCAGAAAAAATTGACAATGTGTCATTGGAAAGACATGGAAACAGCCCAAATACCCAGAAGTAGATGACTGGATTAAAAAAATGTGGTACATATACCCAATAGGATATTACTCAGCAACAACAACAAAAATAAACAAATGCCTTTTGCAGCAACATGGATGGAGCTGGAGAAGATCATCCTTAGTGAAATAAGCCAGAAAGAAAAAGAAAAATACTGGATGGTTTCACTCATAGTAGGAGTACAAAGTAGGGGAGAAAATAATAATAGTGATGAACAACTATATACCAGAGACTTTTAATGGGGGTGGAGTGGGGAATGGGATCAAAAACAGTGGGGGGAGGAAAGTGCACTGGACTGTGGTGGTGGCACATGGGTGATTTGGTGATGGGAAGCCCGGGGATTACAACTGAGATGGAAAAAAGCACAAAATGATGTAAAATAAACTATTATTATATTTAAAAAAATTTTTTTTTTAAATTGACAATGTGTCATGAAAACATGACAACTCATGATCTAACTCCCAGATTATCCAAATTATTCTTTTGGTCTGAATAAGTGCAGTTAACCTTATGGATTTATTTGAATTCTGTCAGAAACTTACTTCAAGGAAGAATTCAGGTTTATGATAGAATAAACTGCTTGGCAATTTTCAGTTTTGTTTTTTAAGTATGGACTATGAGCATTTTACCTTTGTAAACATTTTTGTGTTTAGTTCAGTGGCATTAAGCACATTTGCATAATGGTATAACCATTACCATCATCCATTTACTCAACTTTTTCATCTTCTACAACTGAAACCTTGTACCTAACTCTCCCCACTCTTCAGCCCACCTCTGGTAACCACCATTCTCATCTGCCTTTGAATCTGACTGCATCTAGGAACCTCACCTCATTTAAGTGAAATGACACAGAATTTTTCTTTTGTGTTGGCTTATTAGTCCACTTAATTTTTTAAGGTTCATTCATGTTGTAGCACTAGTATGAGAATTTCCTTCCTTTTAAGACTGATTAATATTCTACTGTAGGCACATATCTCTTTTAAGCTAGCTATCAGCTTTTTATTCATACCTAAACAATAACATTGTCCTTAACAATGTTTTATACTGCTTTTGTTTAAATTTTTTAAGTAAATTTAATTATATGGACTCAGTCTGATAATTTTTACTACTGGAAGTAGTGTGTAGTCCACTGATATCTAAAATAATTATTGATGTAATTGAATTTAAATTTATTATCTTCTTATTTGTAATTCTATGTATTTAAAATTTCTTATCTGCTTTATTTTCTCTACTTAGTAACTATATTTAGGTATTTTAGAGTTTACAATATGCATCACATTAGTCTATTTTCAAATAATTTTACCCAACTTCTCAATATGACTTTTATTTCATTTCCCCTTATAATAAACTTAACTTCTCAAATATAACTGTTATAAACTCTGCTATATAGTTACTGCTTTTGCTTTAAAAAACTTACAGAGAAATTTTTAAAAAAACATAAAAGTGTCTTTTTTTTTTAAAACCACTTCTGGCATTCTTTATTCTTGATTAGTTAATTAATTCAACAACCATTTGTTAAGGCCCACTATGTACCAGGACCTCTGCAAAAGTTTCTATATATAGAATACAAAGTGAAATCTAGTTTTTAATTCTAGGTGGCTCAGAGATCTGCTGGAGAGTCATGAAGGAGCCATTTTAGATAATGGGGCAGATGTGGTGGGAACACTGAAGGAAAGCACCTCTGTGGTCAGAGTACTCTGAGGTCAGAGTAGCTTTATGCATATTTTATGAACTTGAACCTAAGTGGAACAAAATGATATGAATTATAGTCCTGAATTGTATCATTTTAAGAACAACTTTTTCACTTTGGGATACATGATCCTTTGTTTTCATGTTAGAACTAAATTTCTGTCATCCTGCTTAATTATATAAAACTTGAATTTGTCTTTTGGATTAACTTTGCTAAAAATCATTTCTACTTTAGGTGGTTTAATATTAGCTGCTGATTACTCTCAACTTGAACTGAGGATCTTGGCTCATTTGTCTCAGGATCAACGTCTCATTCAGGTATTAAACACTGGAACGGATGTTTTCAGGAGTATTGCAGCTGAATGGAAGATGATTGAGCCAGCGTCTGTTGGGGATGATCTGAGACAACAAGCAAAGCAGGTGATCTTAATGAACAGTTTTTAGCATAAATTAGTTTTAATAATTCAGGAGTTAAATATCTTGATTACATGTAGTTGAGAAATGATTTTACCATCTTTGGATCTTTCAAATCATATTCATCTGAGCCTATCTCATGGTATTATTTATTTTGCAGAGTTGGTAGAAAGATCAGACAAACTTGGTCTGGGACTGATCAGGGTCAGAAAACCATAAGCCTTAGTGGTAGTTACTGTGGTGGTGGCAGTTGCTATCTGTGTGTGTGTGTGTTTGTATTTTAAATCACCTTTAGTCTATATTTTCATCTCTCTAGTTTTACACATTATTGAATATTATTGCTTTTCATGGAAAAAGTGTCCCTTAAATATTTTTTGAAAAGTTAAAATTTCTGAAGTACATATATTATAATTAGTAACTGATTGTAAAATTTTTGAGGCAATTGCTTGGCTAATCCCCTTGTGACACTTCATGCTGTCCTTGAACCTTTTAAACAGTTTTCTGTTAGTTCCCATTCCTGGATGCACAAAAAACATAAAACACCAAAAGTTATGTTTATATTATTTCTTGGCCTGGATTAACACTCATTCTACCTTACCACATGACCTGTGGGAAATCTAATGTCATTTTCAAGCAAGTAGGGTTGTAGGGTTGTTGGCTGAGCTGAAGCACCATTCTCATCTAAGATACTGTTTTATATTCACCTTTATAGTTTATAGCTGTGATTCTTTCTTTCTTTATATATATATATATATATATTCATTCCTTCCTACAGACCTGGGGTATAGGCCAGAGGTGCAGGATGTGAGAGGATTCACCGGAGACAGAGTGGGGAGCAGAACAGGCTAGTTGACTGAAATACACTGCTGAGGGACGCAACAGGCAAGACAGGACAGATCTACTGCTCCATGTGTGTCACCTCCCCTTCTAGAGATAGAATTTGTGCTTCAGTGGCGGCTGATAGCTTCATAGTGCTATGCTTTAAACCCTTCTGCCACCAGGGAGGCTCCTGTGATTCTTGACTGCCTTTCACCACTGCTTAGTGAGCAACAACACTTGTTTTTTCCTCTATTTAGAAAACCAGCTGTTTTATCTAATAGCCTCTGAGGTTCTGGGTTTAGCGAGAGTCAAACCCAAGGTAAAGCAGTTAATATTTTAAGTATTTAATCCTTGTAATGACAAATGAAATAGGTGCTTTTATTACCCCTATTTTATTATTTTTTTAAGATTTATTATATTTATTTATGCATACAAGATCTGGGGTGTAGGCCAGAGGTACAGGGGGTAAAAGGATTCACCAGAGACAGAATGGGGAGCAGAACAGCTGATCTACTGAAACACACTTCTGTACCACATGTGGGTTGGGATCTAAATTCATGCTGCAGTGGCTGCAGATAGCTTCATAATGCTGAGATTTAACCCCTTGCACCACCAGGGAAGTCCTCCTATTATTTTTAAAGAGGAAAAGTGAGGCACAGAAAGTAATGTAAGTAATGCTGTAAGGGGGAGAGCCAGGGTAAGCTCAGAATGCCATTTCTTAGATATTCTGACTTTATGATCCAACAGTTTATTCACAATGATAGCTGCTTGTCTATCTTACAACTTCTTGTATGAGTTAAGTAACCACTATGCTGTATCATTATTTTTTAAATCATCATGTATAGAATGATCTAATCCCTGAGTTTTGAGGAGAACTCAGTCAGGATTATAGCTGAATTAAAAAAAATAAAAAGGATAGAAAAAATTCATTTATACAGAGCTTGCTTTATGTCAGGCAGTTCTCTAAATACTTGTAAGTAATGACTCATTTAATCCTAACAAATATTACTATCCTGGCTTTATGGATACAGAAATTAAGACACAAGCATTTAGGTAGTTTGTGCAAGATAACGCATCTTGCACATGGTAGAACTAGGATTTGAACCCAGGCAATACTTTTTGTTTTTGTTTGTTTGTTTGTTATAATAGTTTATTTTTACATCATTTTGTACATATTTTTTTCACCTCAGTTGTAATCCCCGTGGGTTTCCCATCACTGAGTCACCCATGTGCCATCACCATAGTCCCCTGCACTTCCCTCCCTTCCCCTCCCACCCCCTGCTGTTTTTGATCCCAGTCCCCACTCCACCCCCACAAAATGTCTCTGGTATATGGCTATTTGTTATTCTTATTTTTTTCTTGCCCAGGCAATACTTTTTTTAAATTTTATTCTTTGTCAACTGTATTTTTTTCCTTTTTAAATATTGATTTTCTTATATTGTCTATTTTTGTACAATAATTGGTGTCTCCCCTCAGGTTTAGTCCCAGTATTTCTCCCACCACATCACCCATGAACAATCACTGTGTTGACAATACTTATTACTAAATCAGAAGGAGGACACTGACAGAAAACTAGGGAAAAAATGGAAAAAAATTCATTGTTCTTGATTAACCTATTCAACCGTTTCATTCTACTCCCCCAAAATTTCCTTAGGAGTTTGTGTTTAACCCAAATGAATTCAGTAGTTGTAGGATTTTAGGTGGCTGCTGTGAGGGAAAGAGAATCTTTATTTTCTGTGAAATCTTCCCTGCTATCAAGCCATGAAACCTATCCTTCCTTTTCATCGTCCTTTCCAAACAAAGGAGAGGAATGTTTCTAGTGCTTCTCTTCCTGACTCCTAGGTAATTCTTTAAGGAAAAATTAACTGTGAGGAATAGAAAGCTGCTGTGAAGACTGCTGAATAAATGACAGTCAAATGACCACAAGTTGAATAGTTGTAGCAATTTTAAATTATTAAGGTGCTGTTCTTCATATTGTTGCCCTTCTTCCATTCTGTCTTCCTCCCCCCAAAAAATTATTGCTAAAAAGCAGAAAAGTATCAGCCCATATGTATGAACTGTTGGAAAAGTCGTGATACATTTGTCAAAGAATACATCATGACTTTTCCTACAGCCCAGTATTTATCCACGTAAAGCAGATCTAATCATTTTTTTGATTCATTATGAAATAAAATATTTACCAAATTTTCATTGTATGGCAATTTTAATATTTGTCTTTTGTTGTTATGATCTATGATTTACTTACTTATGATTTAGTTTACTGAGCATGATGACTCCCTTTCAGATTTGTTATGGAATCATTTATGGAATGGGAGCTAAGTCTTTGGGAGAACAGATGGGTGTTAAAGAAAATGATGCTGCTTGCTACATTGACTCCTTTAAGTCCAGATATACAGGTATAGAAGCCTTGGGTGTTAATTACCTTCTAGATATTGTTGTGTTTTTTTCAGTTGTATTTCCACATTATATTAATTTTTTTTAGTTTGTGTTACAAGAGTTTCAATGTAACAAGTTTCATCAGGCATTGCTAATTAAATAACATTAACTTTGCATATGAGTATTTGCTAAGATGGGTTTGTTTTTTTTTCCCATAAAATTAGGGACTGAAGTTGAATAGCAAAATTTAGTTGATGCATATACTATTATATTATTATGCATGTCTTATAAAATCTTGAAATTGTCCTGTGCTTTGGGTTTAGATAACTTTAATTTCTACCAATAAATTATTGCTTAAAGTTACAAGAAACTGTGAGAGAACAGCTACTATAGAGTGATTTTAGAATCATTGTTTTATATTATCTATTTGGCAGTTTATGAAGGTACGATTTATATATTAATAAAATCTGTTTTTTAGGTGGATAGTTCTATGAACTATCCCTGAGCTCCTGAGACTTAGTGGATCTTTAGGGCAAGGATGAATGCTGCTTGAACAATGTATTATACATAATCTTTTTGAATTTTAAGAAGTAGGATGCCCATGTTCCTACTGAGGTATTTATTGTGATTTCAATATTAATTTCAGTCAGGTCCTGTTTGGATCATAACATCAGTGGCAACAAAGAACTGTTGGAATTTTGTAATCCTGGAAATGTGATTAAAATGCAAAAGATGACTAACATGTTCAAAGAACAGAAACAGGAGAAATAGCTTGGTCTTAAGAGCCTAGAGTAAAGCCACTTAGGGTTTCGTACTGCCCTGCTGTTTTAGAGTATAGTACCATATTTTTGTTGCTGTGTTTGATTATAATAGAGTTAAGTGATGTCATTTAAAACATTTTATTTTATTGTAATTATGTCATTTCTAAAATCCATTTTGTTTTAACTGAGTCTAAAAAGCAAATGAAAATTTGTATGCAAAATTTTAATGGTGTATTATTTCTATTAAAAATCATGGAGAGGGTTGGTTTAGCTCACTGTGTTACAACTAGTAAATGAGAATAAGGATAACTTTGGTTGTAACTAGTTCTATGTTTCCTTCATAGGAGTTACTCATTTCATGAGAGACACAGTGAAGAACTGCAGAAGAGATGGATTTGTTCAGACCATTTTGGGAAGGCGTAGATATTTACCAGGAATCAAAGACAATAATCCTTATCATAAAGCTCATGTATGTTGAAATTTCTCTGGATTTTTAACTCTAGTTTTCAAAATGGCTTGTTCTTTTTTTCACAAAGTCTAAATAAATAGTGCTAATCTCCCTTTTAAGGATCACTGTCATATTAATTGTATCTTCTGCTTATACAAGACCCACTGGTAGTTTCATTAAGGATTTCTGAAGTGATGGCATATGCTAATATTTGCTGAACAGCATTCTGGAAATTATTGTAAATATAGGTTCACTTAATAATACTCATTTAAAGATGTTCTATTTCAGCAAAGCAATTATTTGTTAGCTTTGGTGATTTGTTATAAGTAAACTTATTCTTACATTTGCTAATTGTTTGTTTCAGATACCATCTACTAACTTGTCAGATAATGCCAGTTCGCCAGGTCCAAGATTAGCCAGTCACTGAATTTCGATATTTTTTGTTTCATTCTACTTTTTTAATTTTAAAACATCTGTCTCATCAAATGTTATTAGAATGCCCACACTATTGATGGAGGTTATTTTTTAACAACACTTAAAAGATTTATTGATGGTATTTGATTACACTGTGATTCCAATTTCTTTCTTTCTGAAATCATTTGGACTTATAAAAGTATTCTATGTATCTTGTCATGTAAGATTCTCTTATGGTCCAGATCTTCAGTTTTGTCTGGTTGTATTTATCATTCCCCCATACTTTTGGGAGTCAGTGCCCACTGCACACTGTATGTAATGATAAACATCATCCCCCAAACTGCAAAACAACTTTTTCCAGGAGCTAGAAATCTTCAGAGCACTGATGCTAACTGCCATCTGTAAACTAAGTTAACTCTTTGTTGATCATTTGAGAGATGTCCTTAGGAAATGGCCCCTAGGGCCATCAGATCTGGCAACTCCTCAGGTGGCTCAAAGTCAATATGAGGGGAAAAGAGGCCATCTGCCTATTCGTGTGGTGGACGTCTTCCTGCATCCCACCTGTTGCTTATTGTAGAAACTGTTTCCATTTAGTTATGTAACTTCTGGGCAATACCGTACTCATTAGAGCATTTCTCCAACATTAACCAAGAGCTCATGGCCATAGAGATAACCTAAACTAATAATATCTGATAGCTTGCTAATAAGTGTTCCCTCAAATGGGTGGTAGGAGGCACCCATGGGCTCTAGTCATAAGCCTCAGCCTACATTCCACAGAAGGCTATTGCCGAGAATTTCCCCCACTACCACTCCAGTTTCTTTTCTATACTGTGTGGATTCAGGCTGTCTTACTGGTTCCCATTACAGTGTTCCCAGCTAACATTGCTTGAAAATTTATATGCCTCCTGTTTTACTATACTAGATGGGAGAAATGTTCCCCACTCAGAGATTGTGCACTCCCTGTAATACAATCAGGTAAAAGAGATGCAACCTCATTGCATAAAGCCTACTTAAGTATATAATTGTTTACCTTGTAACTTCAAACTTTTACAGAACCTCTTTGCCTTTTTCTTTTTGTATATGAAAGGAAAATTTTAAACATTTCATCAACTAACAGAACGTTTTTAAATGTTTTATCTGTTTAAGATAAAGTAACTTCTCTATATATTTACTTGTAGGACAGGGTTTCTGTCACAACTACTCAACTCTACTGTTGTAGTATAGACATAGTCATAAGTGAGTGAATGGGCCAGATCTCACCTGCAGTTTGCCCACCCCCAGATCTAACTGTTCTTTTTTTTTTTTTAAAAGATTTATTTTTATTTATTTATGTATAGAAGAACTGGGGAATCAAACCCAGGCCGCAGTTGTGATAGCATGATAGCATTGAGACTTAACAACTATACCTCCAGGGAGGCCCCTAACTGATCTTTCTTTGAATATATTCTGCTTGCTTTACTGTCTTTGCTCTTGATACAGAATCTGTTTTTCTTAGCTGGTTTCTAGCAGATTTTCTGTCATGCCTTTGTGTGTGTATTTAATTCATGTGCCTGCCTATACATTGGTACATTTTTTTTTTAAAGATTTATTTATGCATACAGAACTAGGGTACAGGCCAGAGGTGCGGTGGGTGAGAGAATTCATCAGAGACAGAGTGAGCTGCACTGAAGTACACTGCTGAGGGGAGCAGTGGGCAGGTCAGGAGAGGTCTGCCGCGCCATGTGGGTCAGCTCCCTGGCAGGGATTGAGCTCCAGGTGCAGTAGTGGTTGTTTTGTCAGATGGTAATGAATTCATTCTGTGCTTTAACCCCTTGTGCCACCAGGAAGGGCACTTAAACCCAACTATTTTAAATCCAACAGAACTGTTCTAGTACTCGAGGCTTCTTTATGCTTCCTCCAAGTCAGTGCTATCCTCTCCACCCCCACCATGCACACATACCCAACTATAAAGAAAACACTACTTAAATGTCTTAAGTTCTGTTCTGTTTATTTTTCAGTTCTAGACTTGCCATTTTATTCTTATTTTATTGTTGTTTATCTACCTGAATATATTATGCATAATTATTTTGTAGTATAATTAAAGTTTGATTATAGGCTGTAGTCTGATTAATGTCCTGTATTTATCCGGTAGTGAATTTAGAATGAATTCATTAGCATCTGACAAAACAACAGTTAATTAAAAAGAAAGTTATCTTTTTTTTTTCCAAAGATATATTTATTTTTGCATACAGAACTGGGATACAGGCCAGAGCTGCAGGGACGGTGAGAGGATTCACCAGAGACAGAGTGGGGAGCAGAACAGGCTGACTGGTGAAGAACACTGCTGAGGGGAGCAGCAGGCGGGTCAGGAGAGGTCTGCCGTGCCAGATGGATCACTTCCAGAGCGGGGAGCGAACTCGTGCTAAAGTGGCTTTAGCATTTTAGTGCCATGCATTAACCCACTAGGCCACCAGGGAGGGCCAAGAAAGTGATCTTTTTTAACAGGTTTTTAATGTGCTTGAAGTTGGAGGTAGCCCAGTGATAGCAATGAAGAATGGTAGACTCTTTCGTGATAACTAGATCTCTCCTGTTAGTAGACCCTTCCCGTTTCCTGAGATATTTTAGAATATCGGGAGTGATATTCATGGCCAGGTTACCTCTTGAATGTTTATCCAGACCCCCATGCCTACTGCCCTAGCATGATCACTTTAGGTAAATGTAGTTGCTTACAAAGCCAATGGCAGCAATAGTTTCAGGGATTCTAACTAGGAATCTAGGATCTGCAATTACACTAGCAACCATTAATTAGCCTTAGCAGACCATAGAGTTCCAGACTTGCTAGAACTAAATTCTCTATAGAACCAAAGGGTCACTGAGAAGAGAGATAGGCTTGGATCAGTCCATACAAGGAACTGAGGGTTTATACCAGAGGTGTGGGCATGAGGGGGTTTACCAGAGACAGAGTGGGGAGAAGAACAGGCAGGTCTACTGAAATACACTGTTGAGGGGAGCAGCAGGAGAGACAGGAGAGGTTAACTGCACCATTTGGGGATTGAACTCATGCTGTAGTGGCTGGTGATAGCTTGATAGCTTTGAGACATTAACCTCTACTATTAGGGAATCTCAAGGGGAGGTACATTTTGAGGAGTAAATCCTTTAGAGTGCATTTAAAACAGAATACCAATAATGTAAGTTTATAAAATTAAATAATTTTCATCTACTAAATACATTTAAAGCATAAAGCAATTTTTAATTAGCTGACTTTGAAAGATTTCTAACCTTTGAAAGATTCTGACCTTCTATTTACTATATCCTCATGTGGAAGATAGCTGAGTATCCAGAGTCCTGGATCATTTTAATTCTAGTTCTTTTTAGGATGCTACTTAATATTTGATGTCCTGGCTCCATTTGAACCAGATTTCCAGTGCATTTGCCGATGTGTGATCTGTGAACAGTGGTTATGAAGCTGTGTTGATGTATCTGATGCAGCACCTGTTACTGTTTTTCATAGGCTGAGCGTCAGGCTATTAACACAACAGTCCAAGGATCGGCAGCTGATATTGTCAAAATAGCCACAGTTAACATTCAGAAGCAGTTAGACACCTTACGTTCGACCTTCAAGTCCCATGGTCATCGGGAGGGTATGCTCCAAAGTGACAGACCAGGTTTGTTCACAGATTGTTATTACATGGTGAGAATGACCGTAGTAGAACAGAGGGAAGTGTTTTATATGTTGTTTCTCAGCACTGCTCACATGTCACTGTGATTTCACAGCCTTAGGGTCCAAAGACTTTTCTTTATGTGGTTTATTTTTACTCATAGTTACCATGTTAGAAATTAAGATGGGGATTTTGAAACTTTTGTTAGCATGTAGTAATAATAACAATAATAAGGAACGCATATTAACATAAATAACACATTGTTAGGAAAATACATTTTTCAAAACCAAAGAATATTGGTGATGAGTAGCTTTATTTTATATATCTACAAATATCTGGCTTAAGAGAAGACAGTTGATATTTTACCCACTTCTGCATCTAATCTGTTAACAGCATTGCATGTCTTATCCAGCTTGTGGGAGACTGATGGATTTCCCAAGATGTGGGGCTTTTGTTACTAAAACCAGGGCAGTTGGTCACATTGCTGTGCCCTGAGGAGAGAGTGAGACTGCTATTCAGAGAATCTGACATTGGAACTCCATGGAAAGAGGTTTTTTTTTAAATGAGAAATAAATTAGAGTTTGAAGCAGAGTTCTTCAAACTCCATTTATTGACCTCTTTTTTTTTTTTTAAGATTTTTAAAATTTATTTATTCATACAGAACTGGGGTACAGGCCAGAGATGCAGAGGGCGAGAGGATTCATCAGGGACAGAGTAGGGAGCAGAACAGGCAGATCAACGAAGTACACTGCTAAGGGGAGCAGCAGGCGGGGTCAGGAGAGGTCTGCCTCGCCATGTGGATCTCCTCTTGGGCAGGCAGGGATTGAACTCATGCGGAAGTGGCCCAAGCTTCTCAGTGCTGTGCTTTAACCTGCTGAGCCACCAGGGAGGGCCCCTATTGACCTCTTTTTTTAGATTTCCTCCTAGGAGAAAGTTGGTAGGGAATCTGAGGTATCTGATAGGTAACTGATAGGTGGAATAGGTAGCATTAAGTAAATTATTTTCCTGATAGTTCTAATAGGTCTTCTCTTAAAATTTCCCAGTTTCTCAAAATCTCTAAAAAATTCTGTCGTGACACAGTGACATGCTGATGATGTTTGCTGCTTTTTTTATGGGTTGTAGGATTGTTACCAAAAAACAAACTGCAAGGGATGTTCTGCCCAATCAGAGGAGGCTTCTTCATCCTTCAGCTCCATGATGAACTCTTATACGAAGTGGCAGAAGAGGATGTTGTTCAGGTATACTTTGCAGTTGCCATTCTGTTGGAAGCTAAGAAGGTGTATGTCAGGGTAACAGCTTTTTTCCTTATGTGTAACATTTCCAGAACCCTTCCCTAGCTTCAGGATGGCTTTACAAATGTTGACTCTTTAAATATAGAAGCTTGATTTCATACTGATACTTAAAAGATGTTCCTGATACCGAAGTTAGGTGAAAATTTGTCCTGCTCTGAGGGTTTCAAAACTCTAATCATGCCATTTGGCAGAACTGCTCCTTTCCAGTATAGACCAGTTTGGGGGGCTTGAGCACTTAAAACACCATGAGGTGAAGAGTGAGACTGTGTTATTACCTGTGGATGTGTTGGGAAGCATTCTTTGATTGGGCAAAGTGTTAATGCTATTTTTTTCTTTTTGTAGGTAGCTCAAATTGTGAAGAATGAAATGGAAAGTGCCATAAAACTTTCTGTGAAACTGAAAGTAAAAGTGAAAATAGGTGCCAGCTGGGGAGATCTGAAGGACTTTGATGTATAAATGAACAGTTGATTAAGTCCTCCTAGCAAAGTAAAGTGACATGGAAAAAATAGAAATTACCCTTTCACCTACTTCATGAAAACAAACTCCTCAAGTCTTGATGAACTATATAGTAATTTAATAGTTTCAAAACATATTATCACCTTTATTTATTCTCTGAATTAACAGAAACTTTGTTTTTAAGAGGAAATACTAAATTTAATGATAATATTTACTCTGAGAGTATCTGTGAAATCACATTTTATGATTTATTGTGACTTGCAGCAGGTCATATCATGGGCTTGAAATATGCACTTAGCACTTTGGTTCTCCTCTGTCTGGCTTGAGCTTGGAAGAAATGAGCTGCTGCCAGAGGGTGTGTTCAGCCCCATCTCGTATTCACATGCTCGTGCTGGAGACCTCAAAAGGAGCCATAGGCAGATAAGAGTTTAGTCTCACAGGTCAGAAGTGTTACACATTGTGTGTGATTTTTCTTCATTGTTGATTTTAAGACTACTAAAGTAGTATTTTAAAATAGTGTTAGCTTCATTTTGAAATATGTAAAGTGGTCAGATCTAGTGTGGATGTTGTCTAAGAACAGATTTTCATTGAATGCTGTTTTTTCTTCCTCTTCTCTCTTATTCATGTAGTGAATGTATTTGCAATATATATGTATTAAGAAAATAAATCACACCTCTTTAAGAGGTATTCTGTTCTGTGAGATCAGGTTTTATTGCAGTTTGATGTAATACTTCCAGAGAAGGGAAATGCCCCTTTAGTGGTCCTGTTTTGCCTTTCTGTTTGTGTTATAATGAGAATAGCCATACTGAAGATTGTGTCTTACCATACTTGTAGAGGTATGTAACTGATCTTTTTGTTGTCAGAATAAAATTAATTATGAAACATTTTACATCAATAGTTTGTTTTGTTTTTAAAGAAAAAAAATTTTAATTATTTTGCACAAAAGAACTGGGGTATAAGCCAGAGGTGCAGGGGGTGAGAGGATTCACCAGTGACAGGATTGGGAACAGAACAGGCAGAGCTACTGAAATAGACTGCTGAGGGGAGCAGCAGGTAGGCAAGACAGAAGAGGTCTGCTTTGCTGTATGGGGTAGCTCCTGGCTGGGGATGGAACTCATGCTGCAGGGGCTGGGGATAGCTTCGATAGTGCTGAGACTTAATCCTTTGCACCACCAGGGAGGCCCAGTAGTTTGGTTTTTTTAAATTGTATTTGGGTTAAGAGCACCAGAAACTTATGTCCCTTCTTACTCTGTGATTTGCTTACCATGTACACATAGAAAATGTTACACATAGAAAATGTTTATTATTAATTTTTGATTAGTTATCAGAAGAACTCTTTTATGCTTATTAATCAGAATAAGGGAAAAAGATGATTGCTTTATAAACAAAGTATTACATACTACCAGTCGTTAGATATTAGCTCACAGGATACTCAGAAATGTTTTTTTTTTTAAAGATTTATTTATTTATTCATACAGAACTGGGGTACAAGCCAGAAATGCAGAGGGTGAGAGGATTCACCAGAGACAGAGTGGGGAGCAGCAGAACAGGCAGATCGACGAAGTACACTGCTGAGGGGAGCATCGGGCGGGTCAGGAGAGGTCTGCTGTGCCATGTGGTCACCTCCGGGGCAGGCGGGGATCGAACTCATGCGGAAGTGGCTTTAGCTTCTCAGTGCTGTGCTTTAACCTGCTGCCCCACCAGGGAGGGCCGAAATGTTCTTTTTTGTTTGTTTTTTTTGGGTGGGTACAAAGGGGTTGTGTGGACAGAAGATGGCAGAAATGAGAGGGAAGTCACATTATTTAAGTTTTTCCTGTACTCACTTGCACTATATTTCTCAGAGGGAAAAGCTGTAATACTATACAGCTTGAGAACTGGTACAAAAGGAAACTCCAGCTCTTTAGTGGCGTGTACGCGCCACACGTGAGGGCAGCCACAGAGGTAACACCCTCCTGTTTTCTGCAGCCACGGCCTGCAGGTGTGGTCACCCGTCAGCCTGACCTAACACAGGCCAACTTTGCTTTACATGATTCAGTTACGCATAATTCCACTTACCAGGGTTTTCTTAAATAACACTAGTCTCCCTGGTACACAATTCAAACTTCAGTTACTGTGGTGTATTAATTGAGCAATCAGATAAAGTCCAAACTTCACTGGTAGCTCGTATGTCCACAAACACTATGTAAAAAACAGATGCACATTATGGTAGACAGAATAATGACCTCTCCCAGGATATCCACACACTAATTCCTGAAAACCTGTGGACATGTTCATTACATGGCAGAAGGGAGATGATCAGTAAGAGATCTTGAGACAGAGGAATTCTGGATTATTTCCAGGATGATTCCACTGTAAACACTGAGGCTCTTTATAAAAGAAAGGAAGGGCATCCGAGTCAAAGGAGGAGATATGATGATAGAATTAGTCAAGTTGAGGTTTGAAGATGTTGCCTGCTGACTTTAAAGTTGGAAAAAGGAGCCATGAACCAGGGGATGTCTCTAGAAGTAGAAAGGCATGGGATGGGAACAGATTCTTTCCTATAGGCTCCAGAAAGAACAAATCCTAGCAATAC